TTTAAAACGAACATTTACATTTTCCCCTGGAGCCAAGGTGTGGCAGCTGCCATACCTTGCCATACCCAATTGACGCCTCTGCACTAGCCCCCCGTCGACTTTCCTGAAGTACTCCCCCGTTGATAGAAATCAACACGTAATGAATTAAGACCCCACGGTTTGATGATTGATAGGTGTGTGGGCTGTCTTTCATTTTGACCCACAGAAAAATGTTATAATAAACATACAATACTGTATGTTAAATGGATATATCCGCCTTCTTTCATTTATCTTTCCATTCCCACAACAATATAAATAAAGAAATGGCATATTTTGGACATAGTTCGAATGGTGATTAATCATGATTAATTAATTTTTAAGCTGTGATTAATCTGATTAAAAATGTTAATCGTTTGACAACCCTAATTAGGAGTATACTTTTTTGTACAACATAATATATGGGATAGCACTTCCTGTTCCCTCATCTCAAAATCAATATTTTTTTAATGGGTTTTTGGTTAAATGACCGAAGTAAGGTCAGTGGATAACAGAAGCTTAATAGACTTTGACCGTTTGTTGTGTTACATAAAATGTCGGCAAATACCCACTTGCTTTTAGGTGTCATACAAATCCTGATTACTGTCAAATGTTTAAATGAGACTTCTTAAAGTCATCACCATTTCATGTTAGCTACATGGTGGTTACTTTTAGGGTATGCGACCATGGTGTGGTTTGTTGATAGCCTCAACTTAGCTTTCAACTTCTTACGATTGCATTTTTCAAAAAAAGTCTCAAAACCAAATGTAAAAATCCCATTACATTTATGTCAACGTGGAAAATGCTTCGGGTTTAGCCTACACAACAACTTTATCCCAGCACTCTATAAAGGCCAAAAAGTGGCAGTTTGGAGTGTGTATGAATATTTCTCTATGCAAAGCAGCTGAATGGTCTTTCGGCATTTATGCAAACACTACATGTGTGACGTTTGACCTTTGATCCATGCTGATGGACCGTCTGAAGGCATCCCTCTGGGCGATCAGGGTAGATTTGGGCGAGGTTTTTGGGCTGCTGTCTGAGTCAGCGCTGTCATCGTCGCCCATGGCCTTGATGTAGCTTCCGCTCCGCATGCGGCGACACGGAATCTCCCCTCCGCTGTCTGTCCCACTGCCAGCGCCATATCCCCCACCCCAATCATCTGAAGGGACCTGAGACACATCACATCCACACAAACATTCACATAGTCATGGATAAGTATAAAAAGGGCAGAGGAGCATTAATCTGGGACATACAGAGAGTAGTACAATCAAACAGCTTTAGTAGGTAGTCAGTCTCAGTATTAGAAGTATAAGTATGGGTTAAAAGTAGATTTGCATTCTTCTTCTACAAAACTGTTAAGGAAAAAGCAATTGATCACAGTGTTAATAATTAGAGTTGTGATATTGAAGGTGTTAGCACTGCACTGTTGGAAGCTTCTTCTCAATATCTGTAATTGAAGTCAAAGGGTTTCTCGAAACAGAAATATATTTCACACCTCGAACAGAAGGAGAGTGAGGAATCAGACGTACAGTCATGGCGCACATGCACACAGTGTGAAGCCTACGCACTGGCCAAGATGGCTCAAGCATGCTCATACACACAATGAGAACACACACGCACGCAAACACACACACATGAACGTTCATAGGAGAGGATGATAAAGAAGGAGAGAAAGAGACAAAGTAACTTACAGAAAGAGAGAAACTCTGACAGCTGGAGAAACACTGATACAGAGAAGGAGAAACAGCATAAGCTAAAAGCTGACGGACAGAACAAATAAAACAATGCACAAAAAAACTGGCAAAATGTAGGGGGACCGGCAGAAAAAGTGGCAGAGAGAGGCACAGACAGGTGTACAGAGAGGAAAAACAAGTAACGGAGAAGCTGAATAACAGAGTGGGAAGACATATGGGCAGATGAATGAGAATATGATGAGAAAACAAAATGAAAAAAACACAAACAGAAACACAGTCAACACAAGAAAACGACACATTGAGAATTGATAAGAAGCAATAAGATGAAACAAAAACAATTAGGTTCCCACTGTGGCCGTCATGTGAAATGTATGACTTCACCAGTCAGGACGCTTTCTTAGCTCTTCAAATGACCCCTTTCTGGCATGTTGTTGTTCTTTAAAAAAAAAAGCATAAGACCAAATCCAACTCAGTGAATTAACTGATTGTCATATACTGTCATTCCCTGCCTAAAATGTCACTAGGAAATTCCATGATATTCCAAACCATTACATGATTTTTGGGGAACATAACCAATGAAAAACAGAAAGCCAGGCAGTTACAAAGAGAGACAATGAAACACAGTTTATTTCTTTAAAGCTGCATTCAGTTGGCCCCAAACTAGAGGATGATTGGATAGATTTTGGGTCGGTTTTCTTCTCTAAAGAATTGCAGACTTCAGGCTGTCTGGATCCTGCAGTGTGAGGGGTTCTTAATGTTACCAAACTGGATTCCTCCCAATGTTGAATTGTATATATATATATATAACATGGAAATCTTTAAAAATAAGCCCTAACTTAACCTGAATACTCATTATTTTCTAAATGTTCTCACTTTGCCTTTGTGTACCTTGCTGAAGGGCAAGTAGGGTATGATGGTTTTATCTTAGCCTGGAGATGAATTTGGAGTTTATCAACCAGCAAACCAAAACAATAATTTATAAGAGGCTAAACATCACTGCAGCCCGGCTGGGAACTGCAGGGTTAGTGTCACGGGTTGAGCGAAGCAGGCAGGACCCAAATGCAGATTTCACAGGAAACACCTTTATTAAAAGGCAACAAGAAAAATACAAAGCTCTTCCCAGTGAACATAATCAACAACAAACAAGGATCTAACAAAGACAGACAGAAAAACCAGAACTTAAATACACACAGGACTAATCAAAGAAACAAGAGACAGGTGAGGAGGGAGGAGAAAACACAGGGGCACCAGGTGAACACAATCAGGAAAACAGGTAGGAGGGAACAGGTAGGAGGAAACACACAGAGAGGAAACCAAAGAGAGATCTAAACAAGACAAAACACAACGCAGACAGAAAACAAAAGACAGATCTAGACAAGACAAAACACAACACAGACAGATCGTGACAGATCTACCTACGTATACTGTCTTAATCACCTTGCATGTACAACCGCTTTGTTTTGACAACCAAGTTTTTACAAAACTGTAACTAAATTCATCTCATCATTTAAGTTTCTCATCAAACTACGTCACTGTACCCAATTAAGCATAAACCAACCATCAGGTTCCAAGCCCTTTAGGGTTATTTTCTCCCCTAAACAATGATTCTCCAACCCATGACCTTTTGAAGGCACCGCAAGTTCCAAAACCCTAACGGCCCGTCCACACAGCAGCTTTGAAAAAATCTTGAAAATCTTGGAGGTGGGCGTGTCTGANAACGTCGGTCTGTAGGAATTGTGCCAAAACTACGCCAACCAGCTGCGGAGGTGATCAGTTGTTTTAGCGCAGTTCTCCAGTGAAGGGGGGGAGAGTCTCCCTCCGCAGCTGGTTGGCGTAGTTTTGGCACAATTCCTACAGACCGACGTTA